TCTTGCACCACTGGCCTCCGCCCACTGGCTGTAGCAACCTTGTGGGTTCCATGGCCCCATAAGCTCTAGTGGTCCTGGCAGCCTTGAGGGCTCTGGCCCCGGCCGACTGCAGGCTCTTGTGCCCCATGGGCTCTGCTAGCCCTGCTGGCTGGCTCTGCTCCCAGCTGCCAGCGACCTCTGTGGATGGGGCTCTCTAGTCCAGCAACATCCGTGGTTCTACCTGACCATGGATGTTGCCAGAACATAGAGGTTCAGCCTGTACTGGGAGGCTTACCCTATGCAGCATAATTATGTTAGGATTAATGAAAATTAGAAAAATCAATTAAAATACTTTTATTTTTACATAAAGGTAAAATTTTATTCTAAAATCTCATTTTTCTCTTTATTAAATGTGTGGGGAGTGGGGGCAAAGTCATAGTTCACCAAGCGTGCCCAAAATCGTTGGGCCGGCCCTGATTGTAGTCACCCCTTGATCACAGCAGGCTAGAATAATGAAGGTTCTAAGTCATCTGATTTAATAAATGAGAATAATTGTACTCTTAAGACTATATAGACAGTTAAACTATCTAGCAGCTGTGAGTAACAGAATGGGAGGAATCTGCTTTGTCCAACAAAATAAAAAAAATGACATTGTGTGCTACATTTTAGGGCATAAATTGCTGTCAAATATTCTTCATCCTTGCAGGAATGAAGAATGGCAGCTCTACTAAATATGCTATGAAAAACTTCTAGGATAGAGTCCAGTATGTCCCTTGATAATATGCTGACTATTATATACTTTAATTGCCTTTTCTGTGCCATTGGTTTCAGTTGCAAATGGGACATGTCTCCTTTAAATTGCACTTTGAAATTACTGAACATACTAGAAGATTTACTGAGCATTGCTCACATCCTTCAGGGAAGGAGGCTGGGAGTGCGGGGGATACAGGGGCTCAGGGCAGGCGGCTGAGGGTGGCAGGGGTGTAGGAGTCAAGGTTCAGGGGTGCAAAGAAGTGAGGGGTGCAGGAGCTGGAGCATGGGGTAGGGTGCTCAGGGCAGGGGATGTGGATGCAGGAATCAGGGCAGGGGGGTTGGGAGGTGTGGGGAGGCTTAGGGGACCAGGGAACTGCCTGGGGAGCTGCACCAGCTACTCCCCGGGGCCAGCTCAGTGCAGCACTTGCTGACTGCCGGTGGTAATTTGGGAGTATAACGATCCCTACTATCACGCCCCTCCTTTCCATTTGATAGTAGACAGATGCATTCCACGCACACCCCATTGTCCTGGCACAACCAAACCCTTACTCTGCTTTAAGTTGTGATAAGAGGAAGCTGCATACCACATTTGGTGGTTTTACTGTTTAGGAGTGTTCTTGAACAAACATTCACAGATGGATGGACAGACACAGACCGACAGATGCACAAACTTTCAAATATATAGTAGATAGATCCAATTACTGTATGCTTTTCTTTTGTAGCGGAGGTTTTTTTCTCCAAGTATTTGGTTCACCAACCACAGGGTGGTGCTCTCATATTTCATATTGCATGCAAGCCTCTATTTCAGTGCATTTGCAAATGAAACAAGTGGTAAAGGAATATAGAGATAGGAAAATACCCTTTCACAAACTTACAGTGACTTGATTAGCTTAAATAATGATCAGTGATTTTTAAATGATGCTGATCAGTTATGACAGGTTGAACCTCTGTAGTCTAGCACACTCAGGATCTGACCAGTGCCGAACCAGAGAATTTGCCAAACCATGGGAGGTGAATATTGTATAACAGCATTACCAACACTTCCACTTCTTACTGGGTTCTTACAAGACAAATAGGGGTAAATTGGAGCTAAATAACAGTACAGAACAATGAGAACCAGAACCGGCGGTTATAAACAAACTTTATGGGACTGTGGGAAACTTGGTCACAGCCATGATAAGCGGACATCCAGCTAACTAAAATCATGCCGGACCACAGATGTTGACAGACCAGATTGTGCCAGATTAGAGAGACAATTTGTATGGAAAACTATTATGAAATCTAAACCAGGAAAACATTTCTTTGTATCTTTCTCCATTCTTAAAGTTACAAATGGAATCGAGTTCTCAGCTTCTGTCACGGCTTTTGCTAAGGTTGCCCTCAAAGTTGTGCTTAAAAGATGTAAAGCAGAAGTTAAAGCACTGACACTTAATACTGTTACTCTATACTGTAGATTAATTGGATTTCACACTTAACATGTCCATTTATTTCCCCCCTGAACAATCACAGCCAGAATACTATTGTAAATTCACAGTTCAGGACACTTAAAGATTCTGGACAGTTTTCATGCTTCCATGTAATTGTCATTTTAATTCAGTGTTCTGTTGTGACACTCTCTACAACTACATTATCTTCCCAATATCTGCTCTAATTTGCATTTTGTCTCCTTCCCACTTTTTCAGAGAAAACATTTGAAAAATTCTTTCAGCAAAAAGTCTGAGAGGTAACCATGTTAGTCTGTAACTTTAAAAACAATGAGTACAGTAGTCCTGTGTCAACTTAGGCTTTGTCTACACTACAAAGTTTTTGCGGCAGAAAGTATGCTAATAACAGACTCATTAGCATGAGTTGCGATGTCCTTAACATATTTTCTGCCAATGCTTTTTGTGCAAGGGGTTTTTGCTCCGGTGTTGATAATTCAAACATATTGATCTCCAGGAGGCCTCCCTCAGCTCCCCAGAATGCTTCCTAGGACTCTAAATCTGAGGTAGCGCATCCACATTAACAGAGCCTGCCTCAGACTAATTTCAAGGCGTCCTCATAGTGAGGACACACTAGTTCAAATTTGTTAAACTGGGAGTTAAGTCAAATTTAGTAATTTCAAAATAGTTTTCCAGTGTAGACATAGCCTTAGAGAATATATTTGCTAGTCTCTAAGGTGCCACAGGATTGCTTGTTGTTCTTTCTGCAAAGTTCACCTCAAAATGAGTCTAGTGGTAGTGTCAAGGCTTCCTGTACTTAAATGTGTTCTTGTTGCTAATGAAATAACTACTCTTATAAATGTGTTCTTGTTGCTAATGAAATAGCAACAAGGCTAGTTAACAGGCTAGTTAATAAGTACGTTGCTTATAGGTCCCATTCAAGGTCTTTGGTTATTTAACCCTCTTAGTTCCATATTCATTGCTAGGCAACTAGACAAAGACTATGAACTCATTTTGAGATCCTATTACGGGGGAGGGGGAACCCTATTAGTGTAAAGACTCTGGTGGGTTTTGAATCAGGCCCTAAGGCAAAAGGACTGGAAGTGCTACCAAAATCTGTAAGCAGAATGGAACCTACTGTGGGGAAGTAGGTTTAGATTTAGTTATTTTTAATTGCAGATTTGTGCCTCTTGACAGTTCATTGTACTATTACTGAGGAATAACTTTATTAATTATCATTGTAATGACTTTAGCCTGACTGTACCATATGCTACAAGGCCACCTAGACTGGAAGGAGAAAATTCTCTACATTTCCTTATCAGAGGAAGCAGCCATATAAATCCAGCTGTATACCTACCTAAATGGGGGGGGGGAAATCAGTAAGATTTATGTGCATTACATATATAGAGAAAGGCCTGATACATTTGAAGTTACATTTTGAGGGGTATTTCTCAGGACTATAACATCATATATGCTTAAAACAATAAATATGCACAAAACATTTCAACAAAAATTTTACTGGGTCACATCATTGCAACACTATAATTCCCTGTAAACATTGAATTTTGCACAGAATTAGCATGAAGAAGTTAATGAACAGTAGAACTTCCTCTTGATAATGTTAGCATGAACTTTGGGAAATGAAGCTCCTAACTGTTAGACCGAAGATGAACATTTAAAATCAGTGGTGAAATTTAGTGGCTCATTTAACAGGAGCTCAACAGCTGTTTAATGTTAACATTTGACTGTGGTGTGGAGAATCTTTAACTAGAATTAATTGGAAAGCTTTTTATTAGAGTTAATAAACCCAAAATGGTAGTGGTGACTATGATACATTTGAATCTGGCTATCTAAAGCATCACAAGACCCAAAACAAATCTGTATCAATGAACTAGAGAAATGCAGTTCTGAATAGCTTACATTTATAGATGTGCCCTTATATCTGCCTCGGAATGTTAACTGAGTTTCCAGTGAAGGCCTATGATTATAACCCAAATTCCTCTTCCTCTAACACTTGCAAAATGAGAAACCAATTGTCTCATTATAAACTAAACTTTAAATTCTGCTGTTATAAAATGAGAAACCAATTGTCTCATTATAAACTACTTTAAATACTGCTGTTACTCAGATAGATGTTATAAATTAGACAGTCTCTTACTGCAGAATGTGAAATCAGATGACCATTCAAGTCTGTAAAAACACAAAGGTACATACAGCATGACTAAGTAATGCTTGCAAGTGTTTACCAACAAAAATCAGCTGCTGCCTGGACCCCATTGTCTGAAGTGTTTTATCACAAAGTAGGCCTATTCATTAAATTTAAAATTATTGTCCAACAGGCTATGCATCCATTCATATAGATAATTGCAACAAACAACTTAATACTTATCTGGCAAAGTCCTTCTAAATCTAAACATTAAAGAGAGAGCCTGGAAAATAACCTGCACCCCAGCATATAAATTATGCTGCATAGTTAAAATGTAATATAGGAGTGCACTGTCGCGTTAAGTGACATCCCTCCATTAATCACTGTTAACAATGACTATAGAAAAAGAACAACAAAACCAACAATGCTAATTTAGCACAGAACCATTCAGCAAACACTCCCCTGCAATACACACACACACACACATGCACAATGTAAGATGTATGCAGTGAGCATCAGTGCATATCAGTTAAATTTGGTCATCTTGGTTTGTGAATGAAGAGAACTATGAGACATTCACAGAACTCTGAGGCTGTTCCTGGATGAGAGACTCTCTCTTTCGCACACACACAAAGCTGTGAATCTTCGATTCCTAACTAATCTGAGGAAACCGTGCCTGCTGCAATATCAGAGTCACTTACTGCATTGCTTTTTCAGCTGAGTGGAAGTGGCTGTTCTTCCAAGCCACGCATGGTTTTGTCACCTGGAAGGTTTCTCTCTTCGGCACAATTCAGCTCCAAAGTATCTGCATGTTGAGGGTAATTGCATTTGTTCTGTACTGGGGCTTTCAGGCTGCAGTGACTGCTCGCCCTATCTATAGCCTCTGGTGTATGCTAAGTAAGCAATCCACTGGGTCTTCATAATGAAAGAATGAAGAGGCACAGCTTTTGAGATGAGTTTTGTATCAAAACCCACTGCATCCATATGATTTCGAAGGCAAAGGGGGCTGTGGGAGTCTTTGTGCTGTCTTGTTGTCCTTTACAAAGCATTTGTATGCATTCTTTGTCAGCACAGAAGACATAAGGGCACATAATACAATATTTCAGAAAGATTTGGGCTTTGCATTTAAAATGTATTAGTCCAGATTTGTAGGATTTTCAGTGAGCATTAAGGTATTTCATTCCAACCTTTTTACTATCAGGAAATACAAACTAAGGGGATTCCAAGATATGACACTTTATAATATCTGTACATAGGAACAGTATGGGGGGGGAGCGGGAACTTCTGGGATTAACACCCCAAATTAAGCTTTCAGACATCATTTTACTTGCCTGTAAAGTGCATAGAGCAGTTGGATCTGCTCTTTAAGTAAAGGTGGGATGTTTTACAAAAGTCCTGGGCAAGATGCAGCCCAAGAACTGGCTGCCTAACATTTTGATTTGGCCCGTGGACTGCATATGGCCACTTTCTATTTATATACTGCCTCCCATGCCACCAAATTTCCAGACAGTGGCTCAGGCAGCAGGATCCTATTTAAATGGTTTAGGACGAGGCCAGAGACATGAGTCCTTTAAATAGTGGTAGCAACTGCAGGTAGCTGCTAGGCAATGAAGCAGCAGCGAGGGAGCCACAAGCCCTTTGCTGTGGTTTTAATTCAAAGCCCCCAGCCCTAGACAACTCTGGGGGGAGGCTAGTCCCCAGCTCTGCCCCTTCCACCTCAGACCCCTTCCCTTCCAGGATGGAACCACCCTATGACCATGGACCAAAATTCATTGTAGCCCCACTGTGAAAATTATTTTCCACTCCTGTTCTACAATAATAGGAAATCTTGAACAACAATAATAAGCTGAAGAAGAGAACAGATGCTAGCCTTAAAACGCCTGTCCATGAAACAGTCCCCATTTTTTGCCAGGGAAATGTGTGGCTCTGAAAATGTTGGAGAGCACCATCAAGACAGAGCAACTGTTCATCCCCCTACTTCACTTCAGCAAAAATTGTGGCCCCTGACATTCTTTTTCTTGCATTGTTCTGCCAATAACTTTAACTCTGACCTTCCATAGACTCTCTTCAGGATAAAGAAGCCATTTCATCTCTGTGCCGCCTCATTAGCAAGGCCTCTTGTGACTTGCCTGAGCTAATTGTCCCTAACTGTGTTTGTGGTAAACTTGTGACAACCAAAAAAAATTGTAATGCTTTGCAGTGAAGAGAGATGCTTTGTCTGTTTAGCTGCCCCGGTATTTAAGAGCAGTGATAGTTTAAAAATCAACTTCACAAAGGAATAATTCCTCATTTCTGAACGTATTCAGAGTTCTGGGGAAATAGAGTTGCTCAAGAAGTTACGGTAGCACTAAGACCCCTTTAAAAACACTAATGACTTTACATTGTCAAGTATAGGTTTTACCTGTCTCATTGCTGCCTGAGAATTCCCGTTCAATTCCCACAGGAAAACCCACCCACTAAAACCAAGATTAATAGATTTTACAGGCCTATTAACTGAATCCTTAAAGAGGGCAGTCAAGGACAGGCATCTAGCAGCATTCTGTAAGGTAGAGTAGCTGTATGTCAATCAGCAGCACTTAAGCTTTTTTCTGTCCTTCTGGGATTTTTGTGGCACTGTACCTGCAATGTAGCTTTATGCCCGTCTCAAGCTGTTTGATTTGTTTTGTTTTTATTTTAATACTGGTTACAATCCTTTGCTTTCTCTCCTATGTAAGTATTAAAGATTGAACCCCTTTTCTACATGTCACCCCACATATTGGAATTTGTGCACTCGGGGATTGTAGGCAGGGGGAAATTCTGCATATTGTATAAAATATGACCTTAATGTGGTGCAAGAACTATTTTTTTTTCTGCACTCTAATTCTGGGTGGGGATGTGAAATACCACAGCTCAGTGCATCTTTTTGAGCTGCATACAGGAAATGATTAACAGTGGTCCCTTACCTGAAATGTTAATTGTATTTATTACAATGATCATGTGTTAAGCATGGGGGAGCAGAGTGGTTTCAAGATGCTATAAAACAGGAGGGCACATTCCCTGCCACAAGAAGCATTCAGTAGAATGGTATGCATAGGTGGACTCCCCTGACTTATAGTGCCCCCTGTTGGTTCTGCAGCAGCCCAGCCTCTCCCTCCCCGTTCTTTCAACTCCACATAGCCTTTGATTTTTGTCTAATTATGTCCCTTCTCCCAGTGTCTATTTTACTGAAACAAAATACACCACAATGCTCAATCCTGGGCTTCACTTCTGTCCTCTTTTCCCTGTGCCTCCTGTCCTTTCTCTGTCCCGGAAGGCAGCCCTTCCTGGGTGGAGTCTTTTCTATTCCCCTGGAGCCTATTTTCCCTGGTTTTCAGGTTTAAACCCCTTCCCTTGTTGAGGTCCATATATCTAGACTACAGGCTTCTTTTAGAAGAAGTTTTTTTCGAAGAGATCTTCCAAAAAAACTTCTTCCGAAAGAGAACGTCCACACTACAAAAGCACATCAAAAAAGCGATCTGCTTTTTCGAAAGGAAGTGTCTAGACTGAATGGATGCTCTCTTGTAATCTGTGATTGCTATGGATGGAATGGTCACCAGGGCACCTGTGATTTTTTTTTCCCTCTTCTTCTGAAAGAACTCCCTCTTCCCTGTCCACACACGCCTTTTGCAAAAAGGCTTCTTCCTCATATCATAGAATGAGGATTACCAATGCCAGAAAATCCCCTCTGTTCTTTCAGTTGTCTTGTGGAAGAACGCAATTGCAGTGTGGACGTTCCTCAAGTTTTGTCGGAAAAACGGCCATTTTTCTGACAAAATTCTGTCGTGTAGACCTACCCTAGGAGATTCGTATAAATCTTGCTCATGGCCACTCCTGAAGGAAGTAGCTAGAGGACTCTTTCAATATCATTTTGGATAATTTTTTCTCTTACTTCTCTGGGCTGAGAAAGGGGTCCACTGGCTGCCTGCTCTTTGCCTGATATTTTTTTTTAAGGCCCCGGCACCTGCCTTAAAACCATGGAATCAGTCGAGGTGTCTGGCCCCTGTTCCATCCTAAAGGGGCCAACATCCTGTGAGAGGGCACACCTACCATGCCTGCTCCCTGAAGGATATGCTACGTGCCTTTCCCCAGCTCTCCCTATAATAACCCACACTCCGAGTCCTCAGACACATCTCGGTGAACACAGTACCGAAGCTGGCATGCTCCTCTGAGGATTAGACAAGCAAAACAGTTGACCAGATGCCTGTCTAATCTCAGTGCTGATGCCCTGGGGGTATCTTTGAGTTTGGGAGGTGAAAATAACCCATTACTAGAAGCCGATGCCAGGTCTTCCAGGATCCTTTGCAAAAATGTTCAGATTCCTCTGCATCTCCTCCAGCCACTTCTTTGCATCACATTAATGTCCCCTCTCTTTCCTCTCCATGTGCCCTGACCACGTTAGGTGAGAGTGGACACTGGTGGAATGGTGGATAGCCTCAAAGAAGGGTGCGTGCCTATGGCAGGCATTGATATTATCCAGAGGTAGATAGAATCATAGGACTGGAAGGGACCTCGAGAGGTCATCGAGTCCAGCCCCCCGCCCTCAAGGCAGGACCAAGCTCCGTCTACCCCATCCCTGACAGATGTCTATCTAACCTGTTCTTAAATATCTCCAGAGAGGGAGATTCCACCACCTCCCTTGGCAATTTATTCCAATATTTGACCACCCTGACAGTTAGGCATTTTTTCCTAATGTCCAATCTAAACCTCCCTTGCTGCACTTTAAGCCCATTACTCCTTGTCCTGTCCTCAGAAACCAAGAGGAACAAATTTTCTCCTGCCTCCTTGTGACACCCTTTTAGATATTTGAAAACCGCTATCATGGCCCCCCTTAATCTTCTTTTTTCCAAACTAAACAAGTCCAGTTCATGAAGCCTGGCTTCATAGGTCATGTTCTCTAGACCTTTAATCATTCTTGTCGCTCTTCTCTGTACCCTTTCCAATTTCTCCACATCTTTCTTGAAATGTGGCGCCCAGAACTGGACACAGTACTCCCGCTGAGGCCTAACTAGTGCAGAGTAGAGCAGCAGAATGACTTCACGAGTTTTGCTTCCAACACACCTGTTGATATAACCTAGAATCATATTTGCTTTTTTTGCAACAGCATCACACTGTTGACTCATATTCAACTTTTGGTCCACTATGATCCCTAGATCCCTTTCCGCCATGCTCCTTCCTAGACAGTCGCTTTCCATCTTGTATGTATGGAACTTTGGTCTCATTTTGTGCCTTTGCCTTTCTAATCTTGCCCCTGCATTCCCGTGTTGCTTGCCTATATTCATCCTTTGATAAGCAGGTACATTTAACAAGTAGTAATCTAAGCCCTACTGAGGATTGCAGCAGACCAATTTTCCTTAATTTTCTCGGCTCCTGCCTCATCCCAATGACATATCATGTCTGGTTACATTAACACATCAGGTGTCATTGTGTTTAAAAATAGTACGCTGAGCCAAGGAAATAAAACAAAATCCCTGAGTAACTGGCTGGTATACAAACTGGGGGAGAGGGGCCCAAGAATCAATTTGTATTCAATCTTTTTAAAAGAAATTTTAGGCTTAAAAGGACAATGTCCCTACCACCACATACTCATAACTGCAGCAGTAAAAAATGAATTGATCTGTCCCAGAGTGTGGTGATTATTGTATTACAGATTAAACTCCAGACTGAGTGCAGTGGTGCCAGGTTGGGATTTACCAGAGTTCCTATGAAGCAACACTGTACATGGTGATTGAATTGAATTGAAGATCTCTTACAAGTGAGCTGGAATGTAAATTGCATTTACAAACCACAATACAAGTTTTGAATTTTAACCTGGAT